TCTAATAATACAAATATATGAAAATCTGAGAATACAATATATAATATATTAAATCAGTTTAATATATTTTAACAATAGATATCTTTGCAAATATTTTCATATTAATCTTCTTTAAGTTTTATTATGATGAAAATATTTATATAATTATTAATAAATATTAATCTTATATAGATAAGATAATTAAAATTCTTTATAATTCAAATAGTAAAATTAAAATTATACAAATAAAATATAAATGTTTAAGACAGAAAAAATATATAGTTTTTATATTAACTGAAATAATAATAATTAGAACATTAATAAAAAAGTATCTAAATTAACAAAATCAAATAACTCATTTATTAAAGTTCATATTTATTATAGAAATATAGATAAAAAATAATAATTAAAGATTTTTGTAATATTAATATTACTTAAAGTAAACTTGACTATATAATTTATACAAATATAATAGAGATAGATATATATTTTAAAATTATAGATTACTTTAATTATTATAAATATTGTAACTTCAATTTATATTGAAATACTTGCACAAATACTTTATTAAATTTGTTATTATTTTTATTATATTATTTTTGTATTCTATCAAAAAAATCCTAATGAACTTTTTATTTATCAAATTATAAAAATATTTGAGTAGAACTTGCAAATACTTAGTTTAATAATTTGCTTATAGTAATAAAAAATATTATAAATAAAATAGTAAATTAATTTTATAATTTTTCAGTTATAATAATATTTATTGTGATTGAGTATCAAAAATATTTTTACAAAAAATTATGTTGAAAAACTTTGTAATCTTATAATTAATATAAATACAAGTCTCAAATTAATAAAAATGAATAAGAGTCAATAAATTATAAAAAAATTAAAGTTGAAACATTAATTATTAAAAAAACTGATTTTGATATAATTATCATTTTTCAAAATCTTAGTTCTAAAAAAGCTAAAATTTTTAAGTTTGATTAAGAATATCCTGTTGTATATATTATAATATTTAAGAATTTTTATATATAAAATCTTTATATTAAAAAGATATAAATATTAAGATCTAAAACAAGTTATATAATAAAAAATTTATAGAATATTTTAGTTTATTCAAATATTAAAAGTATTTATTTTAATTTAAAAGTAAACTTTGATAACAGAAAGATTAAAACCAAGAATATTGTATAATAAAAAGATATTTGTTATAAAGCTAAAGAGAACTTTGAAAATTAGTAATAGAAAATTTATATAAAATATATTTAGCAAATTATTAAAAAGCTATACAAGAATTTTTTAATTATTATATTTTACTAATATAAATAATAAGTGCATTTTCTTTGATAATTAAATTAAAATTGCATTTAAATATTTTATAAAAGATTTATAGAATTTGAAATTAATTTTTATTACTTTTTGATTTTAAATCTAATATAAAAGAAATATCAAATTTTAAATTAGCTAATATAATTATTAGTAATTGATATAGTTATAATATATAAAGTAAATAAAAAAGTAGAATCTAAAGAATAACAAATTTGAAAATATTTATATACTAATATTTTCATTATATAAATTAAAAACAAATAATAATTTTTTAATATAATATATAATTTTGTTATTAAAGAAAAATAATCAAGCTCAAATTTTAATACTAATTATATTATAAAATCAAATAATACAAAGTCAAATTATAAAGAAAATTACTATATTTTAAATGAAATGTATTAAGATATTTTTAAATATATTAAATAAAAAAAATATTTAATTCAGATAAGTTATTTAGTATTAATATTTTTTTGGTATTTTACAAATAAAAAAAATCTAAATTGAAAATTGAGAGAAGAAAAGTAATTTCAAGATTAATATAATATTTATTTTATTTTATCAGTTATTTTTGTAAATAGTTATAATATATATTGTATCAAAATTAATTAATTTGAAAATAAATTAGTCTATTACAAAATATACATAATTTTTTAAATGATAATTTAAAGTTTAATATAATTTGATTTTTATAAATATTTTTTCACAAATAAATTTATTTTTTTTTGATATATTAACAAATTCAAGATTTTAATACAAAATTAAATTTATTTTTAGTGAAATAAGACTCTTTATTAGAAAAAAGCTTCATAATGAAATAAGTTTTTAAGATTATTATATATTAATATTTTTTTTTATTTTTTATATAGATAAATATTTAAAAATACAAGATTATTTAGCTAAATAATATTTGGATTTTTTACCTGTTTAAGATAATTGTATTTCTTGATATTATTATTATTAAGTTATTTATACATTATTTATATTTTTCTATTAATTTAAAGGTGTAAAAAATTAAGTTTTTATAATGAAAAAGATTAAAAACTATTGTTAAAGATAGATAATATATGTTCTTATTATAATAAAATTCAATAATTTTACTAAAATTTCTTTATAATTTAAAGACAATAATTCAAAATAATAAATCTTTCAAGTAACTGTTTTTCAAGTTAAATATAATAAATTAATTATTATAAATAATTTATCTTTTAAAATCAAAATCAATACAAAATATAATTTTATTAAGTTACACACACACACACACACACACACACACACACACACACACACACACACACACACACACACACTATTACTAAAGTTTTAAAATTTATATTCTAAAAACTTATTTTAAAAAAAATCAAATAGAAGTTCTGTATCAGACAAAAAAAAGCTTATTATTAGAGAAAGAATTTAATATTGTACAAAAACTGAAATGTATAAAATATTTATTTTAGATTTGGTTAAGACAAAAAATAATATTAATAAAAAGATTGTGATGACTAATTTTTATTTTTTACAATTTTGTAAAGAATTAATAAAAGCTGAAGTTAATTCTAAATTAATTAATAAATATATTAAATTATTAAAATTTACTCAAGCTTCTAACAAAATTCAAAAAAAGCAATTCAAACAGAAATAAACTTCTAAATATTTTTTCTTAGAAGAATTTAAGACTTTAAAATATTAATACCACTAAAATCTTTATTATACAAGAGCTTGCAAATATAATAAGATTTGTTAAAATAATTACTTTTCATATTATATATTATAAATTTAATGAATTAAACTCTCCAATATGATATAAATCTGACTATTCTTGGTATTATATTAGATATTGTTGTATAATTATTTATTAATAAATTTCATATAAAAAAAAGCTCACAAGCCAAAATATCTATCATTTTTATATTTGATTCGCAAGTCAACTTGCAAGAAACTTTATAATTAACCATTATTTTGCTGATAATTAACTAAATTTTTATATCTGTGATATATAACTCAATATTATTTCAGGAAAAATAGAGCTCTACTATTATACTTTCATATAAGTTATATATAAAAGAAATTAATTATTGCAATATTATATATTAAATATATTTTATACTAATACTATATGCAGAAAAAAATATAAAATAATGACAGAATATTATAGAACAACTTTATATTCCCCACCATTCTTTGTGCTCAATAATGTGCAGAGAAAACGTTTATTTATTCATATAGTACTTGATTCAGCTTATCTGCACTATGATGGGTTTTGCCTCGAATGTGGGAATTGAAAAGAGTTTAGAGAAAAAGACAAACATGAAGATAGATGTTTTAAACCAAAGCTTCCGGAAAATTTTTATGATCAATGTATTAAATGCGGATTTTGGTATATGGGTCCGATGCATGCTGGAAGCATCATCCTTATTGTTTTGGAAGGCCCATGTATAGTAAAAGACATGTAGTATTAATTATCCAACAAGCATTTCATTCATGGCAAAAACGAATAAATTCTGCTAAAATAATTCAGTGTGCAACACTTCAATCCAGGTGGTCCATTTATGAGGCATGCTAAAGATCGATATTATCAAAAAGCAGTTATCCTTGACATTAATTAATGCATCTTTCAAGAATTTATTACCATGTCCGTGTTATGTAACTTATCGCCTGATATAATTATTAGACATTCCATATGCAGATCGAAGTTATTAGATCATCGTCACCGTGAATCACATGTTTGAAATATATATATGGTGCAGAAAATTTTGCAGATCATTTATTAAAGTTCGTATTCTTTTTTATATTTATAAGAAAGTAGTAACATTTTAAAAATTACTTAAATAATTTGATGTCTTTAGACTTTCTGCACCATAGTCACTTTGTGACTGCGAAGCAATATGCATACATTCAACCCACTTACACTTCCAGATAGTCGCGTGTTTGGGTTAATACATGGTGTCACACATTTAATTTTTACACGTATATTCTATTCTATTTTGTCAATGCTGACCGATTAGTTCCAGAGCATGATCGTCAAACCGGAAAAATTGTCATGATTTGTATTACGTCACGAGTGGGAGATCGATATAGAAGGAAATGTGTGGAAAAAAATTTTAAAACGCGTACTATTGTAACGGAATTTTAAACCACGTTTTCTAAAGTTAAGTATTAATAATTGATCTCTTTTTTACGAATCCACGCGCCTCTTTTTGTTGCATGGGGGCCACCAAGCACTGCCTGCAGTTCAACACGAAAGGTGGTCTTCTTGGTCGGACAGCTTGATGTCGTCTTAGACAGATTGGATGCTGGCAGTAATGACCCAGGGTTTACGTGCAAATCTTCCGCGTTCAACACACGTGTAAGAGAAGAGGTTGCGGAAAGAGTCAACTTTTGGGGGGGTGTCTGTCGGTGTCGCAGGAGGCTACCACTCTACCCGATCGTTCAACACGAAAAGGTGGCTAGGGTCAATATGTCAGAGATTGCCTGCGAACATCATGTGCTCAACCGCATGATTGCGACTGATTAACTTGTACTTGGACGGGGACTACACAAGAATATAAATTATATGGGTCTATTTGTTCTGTTAACTAATTAAACATCTTTTTTTTTGCAAAGAACAGATGAGCAGAACTGATAATTTCACACTGGATGCAAACCTTTGTCATCCACACACTGGAATCAACAAATTTTTTTCTGTAATGTCCTTGAACCGGTGGAATACCATTGACCATTTCACAAGATTAGTATATACTAAGAATCCAACAGTAACAGCACAACAAGTGCTCGATCAATACGTTCGAAACTTAGTTGAGATTGCAACCATAAAGAACATTGATCCTGGTGTTTTACAACGCACCCGTGATCTTCATAAAAATATAATTGTATGGTTTCATATCATTTATTGTATCTATGGTAGGGACTTCATAGTCCAATCTGATAAGCTCTCACTCAAATGATTTTATTAGAAAACGGAATATCTAAAAATTATTGGAGATACCCTGCTGGAAGAAATACATGATGATGCAAAAGTAGGTATAAAGACCATTGTATTATCAGAAAGTTATACATATATGTTATCAATATTCTACTTTAGCAAAGGAAAGGAAAAACTAGCCGAACCCGAAAAAATTTTCAAAGCGCAACAGAGAATGATATTGAAAATCGAAAAACTGCTGGGTACATTAATAGCTACGTAAGTATATGTTACCGCAATATTATTTTATAGTTTAATTATGATTTGACTTTGTGCTTTGTAGGAATTGAATGACGAAATCAATGAATTCTGGCGGAGTCCCAATGAACGACAACCTAATCGGTTTGCCAAGAAACTGCGGAAATCGGATGACACAATAGAGTACAAATTTGCATGGCCCGATGAGGATAATGGTTTTGATAATGATGATAATGATGAAAATAGAGAAATGAGTGAATCGAATATATCTGAATTTAAAGATTCATATAGAGGAATGAAAAAAGAGAAAAAATGGTATTTGACATCAGGAAAATGTGTTGAAGATGAGTTATATGCCTTCGGAATTCAATGCCGGTTTGAACAGTATGTGAAAATATATTTGTTGTAATGAAATTTCTGATTTTGTCAACGTGATTTACTTTCGGTAATATTTTCTTCCAGCTTGGCACATTCATTCATTATTGACCCTGATGATGAAACTTATATTAAAAACAATATTTTTACCTCTGAAGAACTAAGCGAAATCTGTGACACAGAAGCAAAAAACCTTCCAGAAATGTCGATTGAATTATTAAAGTATATCAGCTCTTTTCGAATGAAAACAACAAAAGATTTACGCGTAGCACTTGATGTGCGACAAGATTGGGAAGGCGAAAACTTTGACAGAATAAACCATTTTGATTTTGACTGGGTGAAAAATACTATATATAATTTGTTATTAGAATTTGAATCCGATACACTGCAACAAAAACATTTGGAGGCATGGCATAATGTTCATATTTGGTCATTTATTGATAAATGTTTTAATGAATTGAAAGGAGTAGATATTGCAAGAGGTGAATCATGTAGCCTTGCTTCATCAAAACGTAAAAATAATAAGCGGGTAATTCAAGGAGTCATAAAGACAACTAGAAAAGCAATTGGAAGAAGAGGTGATTTAATCTTAAGAAAAGGATCATATGAATATGGCGCTTCTGAAGTAGGAAAAGATTATGAAGGAGACAATGGAACAAAATTGCTTAAAGAAAGGGGATTAAAAAGTTCGAAGATGCTTAAAGATATGATAGTAGACTTGGGCAAGTTTGTAGAATGGGAAACAAATAAATTGCGTCAATTTGAGCTAGTTAGTTTCATTCATGCTGGTAGGTCTTTTTTTTTTAACTTGCCATAATCTTGATAAATTTTGCCACGAAATATTAATTATACTTTTATGTAGGTCTCTATATGATTTTATTACGTATGGATGTTCCTGCCGGATATATTTGCAGAGTTACAAGGTCGGATACCTTACAAGTACCAACCAATGTCAACCAATTTGAAAAAGCTCTTAAATGTTTGGTTTTGACATGGAAAGCTAAGGTTAGTATTGATACTTCTGTTATCACATTCATAGTAGAAAATTATTTAATATTTGATCATTTTCAAAACCTTAGATGATCATCTGTAAAACAATTGATGTTGTTGAAGAAATGTGTGATGATGACATATTGGAGGATTTGCAAGGAGCTGGTACTCGTAAGCATAAGGATTTGACCATTCTTCCTAACTGTGTTATGACACCACAGAAAAAGCGGATGGCGAACGTGATGAACACTTAATACACTTAATGACAGAATTTTGAATTTACAATATTTCGTAGTCGTAGTGATAAATATTATTTCGAATAAATATATTTAGCAGATGGGCGTGGTTTATGCATGCATCGGAAAAAAATAAATTTCGCGTTATCAACTTTCACATGTATATTGGGTGTAGCAATCGCGGTTAAGTGATATTCCATAATAATACAATAAATAAATAAAATAAAGTATTCGTTTATATCGGGTTTGTGAAAATGTAAATTGTATATTAATGTTAATAAATGTGGGGGATCATGATGAAAAACGAATTATGGTGAAAATTTGCAATATCTATTATAATAAACTATGAATAACAATTATACTTGTAATTTACATAGTATATAGCAATATAAATATTGCAAAATTAATTTATTATTATTTTCAAAATATTGCTCTTTTATTATAAGAAATTATCAATAATTCTGGCCAAATGATCTCAGGATCTGCACAATTTTGGCCAAAATTTTTATCATAATCCATTTTTCATACAGTCAAACCTTTTTATACTTTCGAAAAAGCAAAATTTGGTAATTATAGAGGAAATGTGACTATAGAGAGATTTTTTTTACTATATTTAGAAATTTGTTAGTCATATAATTACATGTAATTTTTAATTCAATTTGAATTATAATCATGTAATCAAATTGAATAGTCAATAAAAATATTATATAGTATTGACTTATCAGTAACAATGTGCTTTAACATTCTTTGAATAAATTCATATTAAAAGTACTAATCAAGCAATTTTACAATATTTTAATTGATAGCAAAAATAAATTAATCAATTAAAAATTTAGTTAATTGTTATTGACATTGTTAAAATTAATTTTCAAGAACACTTTCATTCAAAGATTCTTATTTTATCAAATACTCATCAAAAAACTCATTAGATTTGGTTATGACAAAATTAATACAGAGAAACTAAATACCTGATGTTATAATTTAAATATAGTTATTTTATTAATAATTAATTACTTTTATTATATTTATTTTTAATAATTAAATTTATTTAATTTAATTATTTATTATTTAATTATTTAAATTATTATATATTTATTGAACAAATTTGAAAATCACATGACTTTTATATATAACATGTAATTTGAATATATATTTCTATATGTGACTTGTATATGTAATTTATTATTTATTATTTATTATTTATTATTTATTATTATTATTATTATTATAATTTAAGTAACTTTATAATTTTATAATTTCATAATTTTATCATTAATTTCATAATTTTTTAATATTTTAAAAACATAAATCAAATTGTAAAAATTACAAAAATTGCAAAAATTACAATAATTATAGAAATTATAGAAATTATAGAAATTACAGAAGTTATTCATATTATAGGATTATTCAATATTATAATTATTTATATAAATATAGTAATAATTAATGAAAAATATTTATTATAAATATAGCTGGTTTTGTAATTATAAAAATAAGTTATAATCAATTAGATTTAATATAACAAGTTATAGCAATTAGTTCAATTAATAATGTTACAATTATTTTCAATAATTTCATAATTAATAAATCTTTCAAAAATAATAGAAAATATGAAATTCTTTAAAAATAATAACAAAACAACAAATCGATAAAAATAGTATATATATATTAATCATTTAATAATCATATAATAATTATTATTATTTACTTTTTCTACCTTTATTTTCTATCTTTTCTACTCTTTCTATCTTTATTTTCTATCTTTTTTATCTTTTATACCTTTATTTTTTACTTTTTTTATCTTTTATATATTTATTTTTTACCTTTTCTACCTCTATTATTTATCTTTTCTACCTTTTTATCTTTATTATTTATCTTTTCTACTTTTATTATTTACTCTTTCTACCTTTACTACTTTTATTTTCTATCTTTTCTATCTTTTTCTATTTACTTTTTCTATCTTTTATATATATCTTTTTATAATTTTATAATATAGATAGAATTAAAATATATTGACAAATTTTGTCATTAAGTGTATTAAGTGTTCATCACGTTCGCCATCCGCTTTTTCTGTGGTGTCATAACACAGTT